GGGGCTCGACTCTCCAGTGCCTGGACGGCTCTCGAATTCGAATCCAGTTTGGCCCCCTCCAGGCTCTCCATTTTCACGTGAGGTAAATTAGGAGAGAAGTCCCTGGGCGCACTTGCCCCTGTCGCCTGAGTCCTGCCAACAGCGAGGCCATCCAGCCTGCCGGGCGGCGGGCGGGGCGGGGCGGAGGCGGGGCGGGGGCGCCCGCAGGAGGCTGAGAGCGCCGCAGCCCCGCCGGCCCCCCAGCTGGCTCACCCCTCGGCCTCTGCAGGTCGACCAGACCCGCCCCTCCTCCGGGTCTCCGGCTCCGACAAGCCCGGGAGGCCCCGTCTGTGTCGCCAACGGCTCCGGCATCTGAATTGGTGCTGCGGGAGGCTCCCCCCGTCCCGCCCCCAGCTCTCCTCCGACTTCCGGGTTTTGCGGCCTGGGGCTGCTCCCTCTTCTGCCCCCTCTTTACCTCCCTCTCCATGGTCGCCCCCAACCTGCCTCAAGCCCCCTCACCTACCTGGTGGGGGAGCAAAGCCCTCAGCTGTCTCAGGCACCTGGATCCAGCGGGTCCCACAGTTGCTCAACGGACATGGGAGTCGCCCTTAACACCCTCCAAGAGGGCTGGTCACCCCACACACTCTGCCCCAGTAATGTTCTCCTGGGGCGCCCAGCTCAGCGGGCATCAGGACCCTCCTGCACCGCAGGCCACGGACCCGGGTCGGGCACAGTGCCCGGCACACTCCAGTGCTGTACCCACACGGCCGCGTGGCTGCGACTGGGTGGGGAGTGTGCAGGAGTGAGGGTGGCTGACAAGGTGTGGAGGTGAGAAACGAGGTGACGGGTCTGCCCACCCCAGCTCTGTACCCCAGTAACGAGCACAGGGAATATGGGGGCCTCTGAAATGCAGGCACCCCAGTACCTCTCTGAGAAGGATGGGGTGCCAGCGGGGGTGGTACCCTCTCGGTGCTGAGCCAGGGCCTGCTTCCGACGCTGACCTGCTGTGGATGAGGGCAGGTGGACTTCCAGGCCACTAGTGCTCCTCACAGCTGCTGCTGCCACCTCCTGCCGGACCCTCAGAAGATCTGGGGGTAGGGGGCAACAGCAGTGACCCAGAGGCCAGGCTCCTCCTGGGCTCTCACTCCCTCCACCCTGGCAAGCACAGGACATTGGCCAAGGACACCAAGGAGCACACATCCTCACACTGACCCTGCTGGTTGGTCACCAGGACAAAGATGAGCAGACAGCCAAGGGCAGGGGAGACAAATCATTACCGGGCAGCAGGCAGGCATGCTGGAGGATGCTGGGGGTGGGGGTGGGGGACCAGGTAAGCATTTGAAAAGGATACCGGGATGTTAGAAACCAAGATGTGGTGGGAGGGAGGGGAAAGCCGGCAGGTAGGGTACTCTGGTGGGGCATGAGTGTCGACACTGACAGGAGTTCCAGGGGGCACAGGATGGCAGGCTGCAGGAGCCTTGAGGGGAGAGGGTTGTGTTAAGACCGAAGAGTGGGGTGCAGGCCTGTTCCTGGAGGCAGTGTGACCAGGGTCCAGGTGATGGAGTGGGTGTTGAGCCCTGGCCTGACGCTGCCCACGTGACCCCCTCCTAGGCAGCCTGTGGTGCACTCAATGGGTCTAAGGCACTCTGCTCCCCGTTGCTCCCCACCCCTGCCCCTCCATCCTGCCCCAAGGCCGGGCCTCCAAGTCCCCCCCGCAGCCCCCCAACTTGTGCAGGCTCCGCGTGGCGGCCTGTTTATAAATTAATTACCCGAAAAGCGGAGGTGGGTCCTGCCCGGGCCGGGTGCCAGCCCGCAGAGCCCAGCCGGCGCGGCCGCCCGCCTCCATC